GTGAAAAACCTTCCTATGATATATTTTTGGAAACATACAATTTCTTACAAGTACAAATACAACAATGCATTAAGTGAATGCATAAAATAATGGCAAATAAGAATTTTTTTCTTTAGTGACCAACCATAGGCAAACCTCGCGGCTCGCAAACCATTTTCTTCTCCAACCATAACTTTCGTCTTGAAAAATGTCACTTATATATCTAAGAGCACATCAGCTAAAGCGATTTTTAGAGAAGAAACGAAAGAGTTTTATTTCTTTCATTACAAAAAATGATTAAAAAAAAAAAACAGCATAATATCGCCGACGCAGGACAAGGCCACTGGGACAGCGAGTATTATGATCAACAAACACCTCATTTTGTCTACAAACTGTTGTTACCTAGCCCCCTACTCGTATACCTGGCTCACCGCAGTAGATGAATATGGCAACCCTGGATTAGATGCCAGGACAAAGCACTGGATAAAATTCTTTTTCCACGTAAATGAAGAACAATAAATTCCATGAAATCTTATTATAAAGATATGAATGTATTTATATACAAGCGTAAACAGACACAAACACAAACATATTATATATATATATATATATATATATATATATATATATATATATATATATATATATATATATATATATATATGTATATATATATATATATATATATATATATATATATATATATATATGTATGTATGTATGTATATATTTATACTATTTATATGTATGTATGTATATATATATGTAAATATATATATCTACCTATCTATCTATCTATCTATCTATCTATATATATATATATATATATATATATATATATATATATATATATATATATATATATGTTTGTATATGCACCATGTGTGTTGTTACGTGTGTACTTACACATTTCCGTATTGTCTTGTTTTTATGAAACGGTTTAGAATTTTGTTAATTTTTTATCTATTTTTATTTATTTTTTCTATTTCTATTATCATAATTATTACCTTTTTTGGCAAATGCATGTCTGATGTAGTAATAGAGATGAAGTAAGTGACTGACTATAATTTTTACTGCATGGAAGCCCAAAGTTTTATATTAAAAATAAGTTTTGCATATATAACCTTTTATTCAGTGGTCATTCAGATTGTGATTTTTATTCTTATTTCTATACTTATGTATTCATTTTACTTATCAGTTATTGTATAAATGTTATTCATTCTTTGGAGAAAATATATATGTATGTGTGTAGCCTCTGGAAATGCTACTCCAGCATACCGTCTCTCAGCAAATGTTATTTAGTATAGCGGATGTTTACCCGTTTTTTTTTTATTCGTATTCTAAGTATTGATACACCGTCATTAGTAGTACTGATTTCCCAAATTACTTCTAGTAATCAGTATCAATACCTCATTGGCAACTCAAAGCCGAAATTTGAGTTGCTATTTGTTTTCCGTTTTCATCCTTTCAAATGGTTTAACGAAGAAGAAAGACTCAAGATGGTAAATTTGAAATTTGCGGGTCTTCGGCAACTGAATGTCGTCTGCTACCCATCTGGTGAAATTTCAGAAAAAAAGTGAATAGTTGAACGAAGTCGGATGGATTGGATTGATCAAGATACGAAAAATATATCGGCGAAACTCCGCGTTTTCGTTTTCAGCGTCGGCTAGGTGGAACTCACTCAAAACCTGGAACGTTTTCTTTCTGTGTGGGTAGCAACAGATCGACCAATCGCAGCGTAGACTAATATAAATCAAGATAAAGGCAACATCCTAAAGCATTAATGTCCTTTGAATCAGAATTTCCAAATGACTTCACAGGAATGAAGAAAGTGCCCTTAAGCAGTCCAAGAAGTGACAATAATGCCCAGGATGAAAAGTATTATTATTATTATTATTATTATTTTACATCTTGCCAGCTGTCATTGACAATGTTGAAGTACCACATAAAGTTTGGTTGCCAAATATAGAAAATCAAACTTTGGGTCCAAGGCTAAAATAAAGTTTCATCATAAAAAATGGGTTAATTTCATCATAAAAAATGGGTTAACATTTGGCAACACATTGTTTTCTTTATTGATTGTCTTAGATATCATGAATCCTACACGTTTATGGCATATTTATCCATAATGGTCATACTGTTATTCGGTTACCAAAGAGCATATCTTATGTAAGTCATATAAATGCAGGGTATGCCAAGGAAAAAAATATATACATCAAATTTTGTTTCCCATCTTCTGTCTCCCTGGCAAATTTAGCAAATAAAAATATTATTGGAACAGCCCTCACTTTTGGCCATATATTCTAATAACAACAAAATATCCCAATTAAAAAGGGCTTATTACTTATCCAAACATATATCTGCTAATATTAATTCACAGAAAGATGATTTAAGGATAACCAAAAAGATGAAATATCAATTTATCTAATTTTAAAAGAACATGCATTGGAACTGACGTCATAGCGCATGGTCGAATGGCGGCCTCTGATTGGCTGACGACTTCGTTTGGTTGTGACGTCAA